GCACCAACGCGTATGCGCCTTCCGAAGAGAATGAAAAGCCCCGTGCTTTGATTGCGCAAGAACCTGTGCAGCCTTTGCCAAAGACTTGCCGTACGGCCATTTTTTGTTGTGACCTCGTTGCGACTCCTCTGGTTGAATAAATATCACATTTGGTGGAGGCTGCTCAGATACCCCAAGCAGACCTAGAGCTCCGCTCTTGCAAGTTGGCCGAGAGACCACCGCACAACATGACTGACGCAGTCGCCAACCAGCCCATCCCAGCACAGCCAGCACCATCGGCTGCCCCGTCTACCTGCCCCGGCGCTACCCGTTAACTGGACCTACCAATCTTCAGAGGCAGTGGTGAGCAACGACGTCGAAGACTGGCTCTCCTTGTACGAACGCCTAAGCTCCAGCAACAAGTGGGATGATGACTCTAAGCTCATTTATATTGTCTTTTACTTGGCTGATGTCGCTAGGCTTTGGTTTACCAACCGCGCAACCATCATCGCCAACTGGTCCACCTTTAAGACCCTTGTGACCGAAGCGTTCGGCCGACCAGTGGTCCGCAAGCTCCGCGCTGACTAGCATCTACGCCAACAAGCCCAGCAGCCTGGCGAGACGTTTACTAGTCACACTGAGGATGTGCTCGACCTCTGCAGGCTTGTTAACCCATCTATGCCTGAAGAAAACAAAATTCGACAGATACTCAAGGGCATCGAGGATGGAGCATACCAGATGTTGCTGGCGCAAAGCCCGACCACGGTGGCATTCCTCGTAAGCCGGTGCCAGAGCTTCGATGAATTGCACCCTCAGCGTTCCATCGCCCGACAGAGTGTCCCACCACTAGATTTGATCTCGGCCGTCACACTCGCAAATGGCGACATTCGCCAAGGAACTCTGTCCCACCAGATCAAAGACTTCATCAGGGAGGAAGTCGACCGACAGCTCTCCCTACTGCCGCATAGCGACTCGCCCACCACAAGCCTGCCTTGAAGACTGCAGCAGGCTATATGCACTGAAATTTGCTATGCCATCCCTACAGTTCCGGCCCCTTACCCATGCACTTCAGTGCCATCTCTCAACTGCCGGCTACGCACCACCTTCACCTCTAAGCTACACGCAACTGTGGTCGCGCGGCCCCCGCCGCATACAGTCTCCTTATCGGCTCCACCTCTTCAGGCCTCGCCTCCAGTTTACAGTCCCCCACCTCGCTTTTTCTGTCCATCTAAAGGCGCATCTAGTGGCGCACCCATGACAACCGTCCTATCTGCTTTGCGTGTGGCATCGCTGGCCGTATTGCACGCTTCTGCCGCTGCCGTCCCACACCTACGTACGCCTCTTTTGGAACTCCTACCTACGCGCCGCAGCCGGCCACCACGTCTACATATGAACAGAGGCACTCCGACTCGGATCGCAGCCCATCAACTGCTCGTTTCCCATCCTCTCATTGCAGATCGCCATCGCCTATGCGTCGTCGACCACCTCCTAAGGAGGGAAACTAATCAGTGCAGTTTCGGAGGCAAGAACTGCAACTTCTGCACAATTCTCAAGGCCTCAATTTTTGCCGCAAAATGTTATTGATTTCGATGTTGAGAGAGCCGCCACACTAGCATTAATTGATACTGGGGACGCTGTTTCTGTGATGAACGCAAAATTTTGTCGGAAACTGAAGAAAGTGACCACATCTCTCTGTGGCATGGTGCTGTCCACGGCTAGCGCGCAACACATTCATGCCTCGGCTGTGTTTACGGCGCGCGTCATCATCCAAGACGTTTTGTACATCGTCCAATTTTTGTTATACCATATAGCTCTCATGACCTCATCCTGGGTTGGAATTTCTTATCACGTCATAAAGCTATCATCGATTGTTCACGTGCAGAAGTGTCTCTTGTGCCAACATATGAATTTCCATCGCCCGACCATTCTCCTCTGCTCTGCAAACTCATCGCTGACGAAGACATCACCTTGCCTCCGGAAGCTTCCGTCCCTATTGGCCTTTCATGTGTGGCACAACCTGACTCCACGATGGTGTTTACGCCATCTCCAATTTTTACTGAACGCAAGGGCATCGTTTTCTCATTTGCCCCTCTTACAATTGCTTCTGGTTCAACCGTAATGCTGGTTACCAACCACTGCAACTATCCCATTGGCTTACTCCGTGGTGAAACCTTAGGATATGTACAACCTGTTGCCCATAACGATGATATTAATCTTCCCGGTGAAACCCCGTGTCACATTGCCACAATTACTCATGCGTCTGAGCCATCAAGTTCGTCAGCCTTCGACAATGCTATTGACGCAGACCTTCCCCTCTCGCATCGCCGCCAACTTGTTGCTCTCCTTAACAAGTTTCGCTCTTCTTTCGACTTTCAAGAACCTGCTTTGGGCCGCACCACGACTATCACTCATACTATTGACACCGGCTCACACTCGCCTCTGCGACAGCGTCCTTACCGCGTTTCCGCCGAAGAGCGCCGCGTCATTACGGAGCAAGTAGATGACATGCTTAAACGTGGAGCCTTCTCAAAGCGCTTGGTCATCACTTGTGGTTCTGGTAAAGAAAAAAATGGCACCGTTCGATTTCGCATGGACTATTGCCGCTTAAACAAGATTACGAAGAAAGATGTTTACCCACTACCACTAATAGACGATGCTCTTGACTGTTTACAAGGCACTGAGTACTTTACATCCTTGAATCTGCGTTCTGGATATTGGCAGGTGCCAATGGCTGAATGGGATTCCCCTAAAAGAACCTCTGCAAAGCTGGATGGCCTATATGAGTTCAAAATCATGCCTATTGCGCTCTGCAATGCGCCTGCGACATTAAGCGCATAATCGATACCATCTTGCGTGCCCACAACTGGGAGACTTCCTTGTGTTACCTGGACGACATCGTAGTCTTTTTAGCTGATTTCCCGACACATCTTGGTCATCTACACGAGATTCTGACGTGTCTAACTTCTGCAGGCCTACAACTTAACACCAAGAAATGCCACTTCGCAACACGAAAACTAACTATCTTGGGACATGTCATCACAAGAGACGGTATTCTTGCAGACCCCGCACCTCCACCAAATGTGATGATGTTTATTCAACCAGAGAAGTCGCCACGAGGTCGCAACAGAAAATGGCCGTACGACAAGTCTAGCAAAGGCGGCACATGTTCTCGCGCAATCAGAGCGCAGGGCTTTTCGTTCTCTTCCGAAGGCACATACACGTTGGTGCGTATGCTCCACTACAACTGGAAGTCTTTTTTTTCATTTTGAGCACATACCTTTTTCATATGCATGCACACTTTAGTAACAATTACTTAGGCATCCAACACACACACTGCATAAATCAAAGTAGCACTTTTTTAATTGCAGTTAGAATTTAACAGGCATGCTCTTTCTTATGCAGCCTGCTTCTGAAACTTTTTTACACAAACTTGTTCAACTCATGCAATTTTGAACATTCTTGCACCAGCAAAGTACTACAAATATTAGTGTAATCAATAAAGAAAACGAATTTCTTTCAATACTTGATGCAACGTTTGTGAAGAAATAACACAAACAATTTGGCAAGCTTCATGGGAAATTTTGTAAGGAAAGCTCATAACGTGTGCAATATTTGTACTGAGCTGTTCTGGCCTGGCAAGTTCAAACTTTGCTAGGGATCCCTAGTAGTGCATTATACAAACACAGGGGAAGTAATGGTACACAAGTAAGCAGACTTTGAACACATACCTCTGCTTTTGGCCCTACAAATATGTCTCCTTCCAAGGCACCTGCCATAACCCTCTTGTGCTTTGGTCGTCCAATGCTTCAAAAGAACACAGTTGCTTACTGTATAAATGCCGAGAAATCAATGCAAGTTACAGCGTTATAAGATGAACTTGTACATACAAGTTTGGGAAGTGGCATTTTGGTACTTGGTCGCCAGCAAAACCTGCCTTTATGACTCCAGAACCCTATAAGTACAAAAGCATTTCGTGAACTGTAAGACAGGTGTATCCGCATGTCAGCAGGATTAACGAAAATTGAAACGCACTTTTAGTTGCGATGTTATAAGCTACTGAGCGCTAGTCGATGTTTCACGACATACTCGTACACATAATGATTACAATCTAAGGCCGCAAACAAAGCAGTGGCATGAAAATACACTGCACCCCACTGATTTACAGTATACATTCACAAGCTTACGTCGACCTAAGTACTGAATGAATTACAACAAACGCCCACGCGCCGACCACGAAGGTACCAAAAAACCACTAGTCGGTCGATCAGACGAAAGCGGCCAACTGGAGTGCGAAATGCGACATCTGCGCTGAAAATCACCACATTTCACATACCAGATATGACAGGTAACGTTGACATAAAGTGACTTTAAGAAAAAAAACCAGCAACAGTCAGCAGCAACACTGCTCATGAAATACGTTCCGCCCAGCCCATCTGTCAATAGCTGTTTTTGTCATCCAACAAGCATTGCACAAAGATACGCTTTCGGCTGTTTGGACTCATGTGGGCACTTTCACCACATCAAATTATTTCTGCGAAGTTGTTAGGCGCGCCGTCAAGAAGCACGACTTTCGATGTGACTCATTCACTAAGAACATGGCGGACGTTTTACATTAAAAAAATATGTAAACATATCTGAAATGTTCTGCGCGAGTATATACACACTAAAGGCACACACATAGAACCGTTACTTACGTTGTCTATGACTACTGGTTGATTAACTATCACGTCATATGTTTCCATAATCTGTCACCGACGTTTTCGGTTACTGAAGGTATTGAAGCGGCTTCTATCAAACGTCCTACCAGACACACTAGCACGACACCGTCGTGCGGTAGGATTCCACGCCGCATGTAGTAGATGTTTACTTTCTTACTTTCAAACCTATCTTAAGTTTCCGTGCCAGTAAATAAAAAAGTGTAATTTTCATTTAAAGTGGCATAATTTATTTGTCTGCTTCGGGCAGCACAACTTTCTTCTTAAAGAGTGAACATACGGCGCTATCGCTAAAAGAAGCTACTGCAACTGCTACATGAGAAGGAATTTTCAACATGGAAGCCAAGCGAGGGGTCGGCGCCTCTGGCTTTCCTGGAGTCGGTTTCCCTCAAATTCCACCTGGCTTGGAGGCACTTTATTCAGCGTGCCTACAAATATATAGCGATCAGCCTAATCCCTTACAGGTCGCAGCAGTCTTAAAGTACTGGTATGTTCAACTCCCGCATGCGTTCGTTACACAAGAGCACCTTTTGTGTTTTTGGTTGCGCGCTGCGCTTGCATATTGCGTGCAGGCTTTAGCGCGCGGTGCTATTGGTATTTTTGAATATTGGGGGCCTACTAGGGGGGGGAATGTATATTCTAAGCGCCACATGTTAAGGCGGTACTCGTGTTTCAGGCTGGGTGGTCCAGACCCGCTCGACTACATCAGCATGTACGCCAATCAAGGGGATGAAAGCAAAGATATTTCTCCTCACTGGCACTACGTCAGCTTTGGATTGTCGGACCTTCACGGAGATGGCAGGGTTCACGAGTATGTACAGCCACTCTTACCTGTGTCGCGGACTCTTGCCAGGAGCTGGTGATGTCGCAGGATTTCCAGCACAGACACTCCTAGCGGCTTCGGTTTCGAGCTGACATTCCGGCTGCGCAAGGAACCCGACGAGACAGGGCCGCCGACTTGGCCGGCGGCCGTAATGCAGGGTCTGGCCAAGTACGTCTTCCAGTCCGGAAACGTACTGTGCGATGGCGATCACGTCTCCTGGCACTGCCCACTGGACAACAGCGAGTCGCGGATCGAGCACATGCTAATGATGGAGGACCCGCAGCTAGGGACGGTGGCTACACCTTTTGGACCTGTCAGCTTTATTCAAGTAAGTGCCCGTAGCGTGATAGTAGCGAGGCGCTCTACTAAAGCATTCTCGTTGCGCCACAGATTGTTGGCGTTTGCGCGGAGGAGCTGAAGGCGGCCCAGCAGTGGAACGGTCGCAGCTTTGTGGCACTCATGCAACGCGTACCGGGCGCAGGCGGTCCTTGGCTCGTCACGAACATGCGCCGAGGAGAGACGGTTTTCGAACTGGACCCCAGTATCCAGGTGCCCCTCCCCCCTCTTGGACTGCATGCCCACTGCCTGGGGCAGGCACCGAAAGACAACCTTTGCAGGACGCAGTAGACCAGGGGATCGAAAACGAAGGGTCGGACCTGAGTGGCGTCAGTGCCAAGCTCTGCTGGTCAGAGGAGTTCCCCCCTGTTGTGCAGACTGCCAAGGAATCCGGGAGCAACACTTCCGTCGACACGCCCAGCATATCGCATTACGAATCCGAGGAAATCAAGCGGACACTCAAAAAAGGACTGCTGGGCAGTCAACCAAGCAGTGAAACAGAGTGAGTAACTCCCATAAAACTGCCTGCCGAGGCTGCAAGGTAGCTCTAATGCAGCATTCTTTCAAAGGGATAATGGCCTGGAAACACAAGAGTTGGCTCAAACCCGAGCTTTGGATGCAGTTCACCTGCAGCTCAATTTGGAAGCTGGACTGCTCTTTCCATTAGTTCTGAGGTAACTAACTGGTGGGCAAAGGTTGGAGCATGTAACACTATTTCACAATGACATTGAACCTATTTCAGGGGAAGATTAAAACATGGCCGTCATTTTACATTCAAGAGCTCGGTTGACAGTGCTGCAGTGACACTAGTCGTTCCAAGTGTTATTGGTGCCTTTGCAAATGCAGAACAGCCATATGCAATGCAGGGCTCTTGGTTGCAGGTAAGAAATGTCAGTCTTTCTATGCTTATTTGTGTGAATGAACTACCTCATTATGCAGATTCTGCTCACAGAAGACCTCATTTCGGAGATGACTGTAAGCATGGAAGAGTTATGCACTGCTGAAGGCGTAAGTTCAAACATCAGGCGTTTGAAGACTTATTTTTAACATTGCTGTTTTTTTTCCCCAGCTCACACTGCCGAAAACATACACGTGGCCCCACCGAAAGATGGCTATCACACTTTTGCCTGAAGAGCTGTGACCGAACTGATTTATTTATGATGTGCATCAACTGTGTGACCTTCAGCTGGAAAATCCATCCTACTGGGAAGTGCCTTCATGACCATGTAGAAAATGTGTGAACTGTATAGACTCCTAGCATGATGTGCTGTGCTCTCAAGTGTGTTCGCAATTGGTGTATATGTTAGCTTTTACACTAAACTGCATTTGTAGCATCAAGTAACCACAATGCAATGGTTTTTGTGTTGTGGTTCTTGTAATGTGCCTTTATGCTCATATGCTAGTATGTGTTCATCACATACTGGTATGTGTTCATCAGTTATGTACAGTTGCTTGCATGATACTACAATTGAAAACTGCATGTTTTGACAAAGATTTCAACTTCACTTGCCTTACACTACCAGGAATGTCACAATTCTATTTTAAAGGCATCCTGTTTGAAAACATATCTAGAATGCTCGCGTGGACTTTTAACAAAATGCACACAATGTTACCTTCTCTGTTTACTAATGTCAAGTGGCAGGTTTCTCTACCACACCTTTTGTAGATTCAATGTCTTTATTAAATAAAATGTAGAGGCACATGACTTTCAATGTACAGATGTACAAACATGAGTGTTGGGCTCTTGTGTGATAATGCCACTAGACCTGTAATGGCATTCACGGTGACCTTGAGCGGAAAGAGTGGTGCACACACCACGGCAACGGCTTGGAACTTCACAACCTTTTTTGTCTGGAGGAGCCAGGTGATGAGGCCCGACCTCGCTTGAGTCCAATGCAAACCTTGAGGCCCTGCTGTTTCTTGGGTGCTGCTGCATCCCTGTCCGAAGTAAATGACAAAAGTTTCTCTCACAAATGAACTTTACAAAAGATGAAGCATAATTGCTGTGTCTAGAGAAAGAATCAAATTTAAATCATACACTGTTTTACAACCATAGAAAATGTTCTTTGGAGGCTGATACAGAACTAGAACTTTCAGAGCTATTTACTATGCTTTAAAGGGCCCATATACTACCTCCGATAATTTTTCAAGCATTTCAAGCAAACACGTGCATTGTGTGCAGAATGCCGTTGCGATTAACAATTTCACACGTGGCAGCGCGATGAGCCACCGGCGCACCACAAATTCCAAAAAACAACTCCTTTCCGGGCCTCCGCGTGATGCGCCGTGCCAGATTTCTAACGCGCCAAGTCAAGTATGCTGCGGCTGGTCGAGCAAGAACCTACGACTTCCGGTCAGGCTGCAAGAAGCTGTCCGCGCTGCTTGTTGTTCGTAGTGTTGCCCGTGCGCATGTAACATGTGCGGAGAATGGTATGTCCCTGTATGGGTTCATCGCATTGGTAATCCTTTGAAGGCGTGCGCACAACGTAGGTTCCTTACCGTTACGGCAGCCACGGTTCGCCAACAAGCACGCAACTTACAGAGTCAACAGCCAGAGTCTCAGAAACCAGAAGTAGATTGTGTTTCAAGCAGCGTGTCAGCGATGACGTATGCCTTTTGAGCATTGGGGGGGGGGGGGGGGCAAAGCGACGTGGGGGAGAATACCAGCAGAGGGAAGTGCAGGAGAGAGTGAAAGGTGTGGTCCTCACGGTTTGAATAATCAAACGCGTCAAACTCCGCTATTACTGCTCCGTTTCGAAAAAATCTTGCAGCTCCGTGTTCGTCGTACACCCATGTACAATTTCCCCACCACAGCTAAATTTCGACATCTGAGTGGTTTACTTTAAAGAACTTCTAAACCACCCAGAAGTCAAAATTTAGTTTTGGCTTCTCTCTTCTCCTCATGCAGTGAAAAGAGAGTGGGAAGCGGACAAACTGGTTTTGTGGGTACCGTGTGACGTCACAGCAAACACCGAGGAGATGAGGGTTTCCAAAAGGCATGGAGAGAAGAGTTAGCCTCTTTAAATTCAAGGGGTGCTGCCACATTTGGAATTGCTCATCACGGTGTTCTAAACTATGAGAGAGTTTACTTGAAATATTAAATTATTGGAGGTGGTTTGGGGCCCTTTAACATTTTGCATTCTAACGGTTTCCCATAAATAAATTTAAATTATGCACTTTTTCCTGATACTGCCTGCATTATTATATCTTCTGTCTCTCCCCTCAATCACTAGAATGACCACTTATCCTGAGCACTGCTTTACAATACTGCCACACCTTTACAAAACTAGTGGAATGTGTGTGGTCACTCATTTTTCATTTATCTGTCCTCAGGTGCTGCCTGTTCTATTTTTGTCACTTCTGCTGCATTCAACATTGAGCTTGCGCAAAACATTGCATACATACTCGAAGATTTGATTCCAGAAATTTTAGTCCATTATTGTAGTCAGGGTAATTACTTGTGAGCAGAAACATTAAGAAACAAGCTTACTGTAGCATGATTTCCAGAACATGTGCTATTCATCTTTGTGAAGCCTTTTAGTTTCTGACAGTTTTACATAAAGAAACACTAAATATCTATAACGTGATTTTTCAAGCCTCCTCCCGCCCCCCCCCCCCTCAAAAAAAAATGGTTGAGTGCAGTTCTTTAATAATTTAATCACTAATATAATTTTTTTTGCCTTAATATACCATGAAAGCCTAAAGTTTTCTGAAGAAATTTTCTACCTAGGGTAGAGGAGCAGAGAGTGTGCCAAATTAAGTGCAAAAATGGATGCAATGATACAACACATAGTGATGATTACAAATTAACACAGATCAAGTGTGTTGCTGAGCTTGGGAATTACAAAACAGAATATTATCAACATAAATACTGTGACAATGGGTATGTTAGCTGGAAACTAATAAATTTCAACTCTTTTCGAAAAAATTTTTCCATTACCTTAGGGATGTAACAAATAATATGGCCATGCACAGGCATGCTTCCGTCAAGACTTGCAGATTGTTCTCGGGAATATTTCTTCATGCTTGCTCCAGTGAAGTTAAAAATGGTGACCCAAATGAGCCGATAGCCTAGAGCTTTCTTTCCAAGAATAATAGTCCATACACAAAAATACATAGGTCAGGTCAAAGAGGCTTGCCAGCCATTTTTCTGCTGGCATTAAGCGAGGCGTGTAATACTGCTGCTGGCTCTTGTAACTTATGTGTTGGGCCCTGCTGCAATGTCCGAGGCTGATTGCCAAGTGTGACTGTGACCAAGGTAGCTCCACGATTGACTAAGGTCTGTGCTTGTGTCATTATTTGCTCCTTTTGGCACAGCAACAAGGAGCACTCCCTTGTTTTTGTGCCATTTCACATGTGTCAAAGATGCATGTTTTGGATTACCTTGTGCCTAGCTGCAGAAGCAAGCTGTTGTGTTGCAGCAAGCACATGAGCATTCTGGTTTCTGTGACGCACCTACACCACAAAACTTTTTCTGGTCAATGAAGACTGTTGTCATATTCTTAACCTTTGCAGCCCACATATAAAGCTGTCTGCACTTTCCACACGCTCCCTTTATGTATAAACCCATGCCTTTTCCTTTTCTAGCATTTGTAGAGTTCCGATTGTCGAGGGGTGGATGCGGCCCTCAGTCTTTTGAAGCAGCTCAGGGTGCAGAAATAATGCTGTTTGGAAGCAGCTTTGGAGTGGTAAAAGGGTACTTTTGGAGCATGAAAGGGTGTGCTTGGGAGCAATACAAGTTATTTTTGGAGCATATTTCAAAGTTCAGATATCACTGTTAATTCAATTTTTTTCTATTTTTGGGAAGCACGAGGTTCCAGTGGTTTTTAATAAATATTCAATGCTGATGAAGCAACCATGCTGACCAATATAAGTTTTTGTATGTTTTCTATGGTGAAATAACCCACTTGGAGCAATGCCACATTATCGATTACAAAAACGAATTCTGGCTATTGAGTGTCTGTGCTGAAAGGTTATAAAACACGAAATTCTTTAAAGAATAAAGAAACATGAGCAATTCAAGCTACTAAACTCCCACCGACTACACCAACGTCCGCCAGTGCCTATTCTGAGTGACGGTATGCTTCACCGCACGGTGCTAAAGCATTGCTATAAAGCAGACTTTCAAAATGTGCTACGGTGTGGGAGTGGCGGAGGCTTTGTTGATGCATTTTCAGACACGAAATTTGAATAAAAAGTTGAAACTCATAAGAGTTTCAGTGTCCGAAACTTCAAATGTTGTCATACATTGGCTCTATAAGGCTTGTGGCGGTCTCACGAATGTGCCGAATATTCAAGCATGTGTGTGCAAGCGTTGTGACGAAGCAGCTAAGGCAGAGATGAAACGAGGCAGCAATCTCTGTTGCACGTAATGCGCATGTAATAACATCACTCCTGCATGAGAATTGAAACTTGAGCAAGTTGACAATAGTTATAGCGCAAAAACAGAACGACAACAAAGAGTTCTCGCGCTATAACTATCGTCATGTCATACCAACTAGCCCAAACTGCCACACCTTTGAGCAAGTTGGTACTAATTTATCTTGATTTTAGCAGCGCACTGGGAAACAAAGACTAAGAAGACAAGAATGTGCACAAAACGGGCGCTGACTCGCAACTGGTGATAAAAAACTGAACAGAAAACTGATAATCTTTGTAATTAACATGTGCAAGTGGCACTTAGGTATTGAAATTCCGCATCGCTTAGCGTGATAAAAGGTACACTGATACATTTTTCTCTTTCGGATGTGGAATGCTTCGATGACCACTCTTGCTATCTGCTGTTTATGACGTGACCGGTTAGTATCGGTGAAGAATAGAGTGCAACTGCATTGTTTACAATGCAATGGCAAGTGAAAATAGTTTGGTGTCTGATAGTGATCGTTCATTCTCTCTCAGACGAATATTGACGCATCTTCCGCTCTGTCCACTGTATGATATTCCACACAATAATAGGACTTTTCTTAATAAAAAAATTCAGTTGCGAGTCAGCACCCGTGTTGTGCACATTCTTTTCCTTTAAGTCGTCATTTTCCAGTGCGCTGTTAAATCAAGATGAACATCACCTATTGTGCGAGGCATGCTGTTGATGGCCCTAAAGGAAAGGCCCCACCTGTTCATAGTCGGCCGAAAATTCGTCGGGGGAGGCTGCGTCGTTTGAGTAGCAACACGAATTTTTTTTCAATCAATCTCAATTTTCTTTGACAATACATAAGCAATTATTATAAACTAGCTGGATCGTTAGCCTACATTGGCTAGTTTGACCATAAGGGCGCGGTTACTTGAGCTAACGTGCAGGCTATCTCGGCAGACATCAGAAAACTGCCCGCTTACTTCGCGTTGAGTTTACCTATGATAACTGCGTTGCTCTATGGAGCCTAGCTTCAGGGTTCAAAAGATTTATTCGAAAGCATTGCAGGGTTTTTGCACATGTGTTGTCTCCCATGTAGTTTCTCTTTTTCGTCTATTTTGCTTCCTTGTAGCGCGCAAAAAGTTGACACTAAAGTTCATAGCGGCTAGCCCTACTTCGTACAATTTAAAACTTGTTCCAACGGCATTCAATGCTTCGTCCTTGTGGCGAGGCTGCTTGTTTTCGCGCCGTCCCCAACGTCAGGTGATGATAGGAGCTTGCTTGGGCTCGCCACGTTGGGATGACGGCACATCAAGACACCAAAGATGACGTGGAAGCAGTTTCGGTGCAATAATGCGTTTGGAAGCAGAATGGCACAATTAGCACGGCACTACCACCCCCGATTGTTGTGTGATGTAGGCTTTTAGCTTTCGAATCAGCCGTCTTTTATGGCAGTTCAATTCACAATTTTCTAGAAGGGAGGAGAGGCCACTGTCACAATATGACCTATGTTGAGTCGACCTCGAAGCATGCCATGCTGTAAAGCCCGATGAACAATACGGGAGTAAATTTCTAGTTCAGCAATCGCAGAGGGTGTGTGTGTGTAGCATAGCTCAATGAAAAGATAGCAAGTCAATGCTGGCAACGGATTGTTGACCGAAGAAATACTTGTAATAACGATGTAGATAAATATTTGAAATTGAAGGCAAAGTTATCAATAAAAGTGTATGATATTAACTATGAAACATCCTGTAATTAGCAGTGCAAATCTTTGAAACCACAAGCATGAAGATAACATGAGAACTAGTCCCTGTGTTGGTACCAGAGCTACAAAAAGGACCTAGACAATTGATTAACCAAAAATATCATCAAGTAGTACTGGTGACAAGCAGCAAGACGATGCCAACTCATACGTTGTGACCTACCGAATAAGCATTATGGTGCTGTGCTATGCCAGTCATAGTACGTGCAATAATCAGGCTCACACAATAGGCTATTCACAAGCCCTGCTCCAATGCAAAGTATAAATCAATTAGACAAAAGTTGATGGTGCACAGTGATGTCATGAGGAGTAAAACGAAATGTGATGCTTCTTGAGGGAAGGATGGTTATAAAGCTGCATGCACAGAGAAGTATGACACATATCTAAATATAAGCGTTCTACCATAGAGTATTGATAAAATGTACCTCAAGGGACCAGAAAAACATGCTCTGATTAACAGGAGTCCTAATTACTGGGAAAGAGGGCCAGCACTATTGTCACACGCCCTCCTTTACACTGTTAGATATGTAAATGGACATAAATCTATTAGCTTATCTGTCTTTTGGTTATAGGACAGGTTCAATGGCTATGAGATTGACGCACTTGTGCATAGGTATTCGGAAACTTGAGCTGCTGGTATTATTCGATAGTCTGGCTGGCAGGGCCACTTCTGACCGACTATTAGTGATGAGCGTTGCTTATGATATTTTAATTTCGTTTTAAATTAAGACTGCATGCTCATCTGAGTATTCAGATCCAATGGTCATTTTCTGTTATTTGACGTATCAGAGGTCAAGAAAGTAATGTCAGTGTCTGAGAACCTTTGCAGGGCACCCACAATACTCCGGTTGACGCAAAACAAGAACTCTTGTTCATCACACCTCTTGCTCTGTTCTTAGCTGCTCTCAACCTGGTTTTGGCTGCTTATGCCAGAAATGCTTTTTTTTTTTTTATTCAGGAGGGACACGCTCAAAGCACCCACATCGTTTCATTTTTCACTGCTCGCAAGTCCCCCTACTTGAAAACAGACTGCCCAGCGTCACCAGAGCTTGAGTACACTAACTTGAGAGCACATAGTCTGAGACGCTGCTCTGCTGTGGGGCGATAGTTTCTTATGGTATTTAGGCGGGTGTTTTGAACTGATGCAAATTTTTTTTTTCTAATTCCAATATGGCATTACCAGACACAAAGCGACAAATTACTGTAAAAAAGTCGCAAACAAAACTGTCATTGTCAGGGGCCCTTAATCTAAGGCTGGAGCCAGTTCAGCATCTAGAATTGTTTCACCCACCTAGACAGATCTCTGCCGAAGATGCTTACACTCAAGAAATCTTTACAGCAGTGGTTTTCAAATGGAGGTCCGCGTAACCCATCCTTGGGTGGAAAAAAAACTTTAAAATTTATTTTGGAGGCATGCTGTATCCTGTGACAGCAGCCCCTTCTGAATTTTTGGTATACTTCAATGCATAGCATTCTTTCATTGCTGCGGAGCTGATTTATTGCCTTCTTCGTAACATGACTGTTGCGGTGTTTTTGCACTTCTCTGACATATGCACGTATTATTTTTCCAGGCTTGCATATTTGTTGAGTAAACACACCTAGAAACAGGTTGAATGTGGCTACTGACTGCAAAACTTATTTTTAAGTTAATGAGATTGAATCGGCATAGTTTGACTGTTCTTTGCCAGGGAGAAAAAAAAAGGCACATACTTCACACTGCATGTTAAGTTGCCTTAACAACTGAGCTGACCAGGAGACTATCAGATGGCAGTGCAAAGGCAAAGTGACAACTCGAAGCACATGGATAATGAATACAGCATATAAGAACGTGACAGACTTTGCAGAGTTCATGGCTTTATGATGGCCGGGATATGTACAAGCCTGAAGTCTGGTAGCACATTGGAAACACCAAACTGCCACATTCCGAGATTCTTGTGAGCTGGCTTTACAGAGACATTTTCTGTAGTTATTTACAGTTACGCTGCACAGAACAGAGTAGCACTCACTTGTGCATCTTATTTAGTAGGAATTAAATAATGCTAACAAGCCCACTGTGCGAAGAAATTTGAAGGATCAATTCCAATAATATTGTGCATTGACCAAAGCAGCACTTACACTCCACCTGGCTGAGGCCGACTGCGCCGAGTTCCTGGCTTGATAACCGGTCGTGGTTTGTACAAGTCGGAAGACTGGTAGCACTTCGAGGACACCGATTCTGACCTGCAGATTATACAAGAGCAATTACGTAGATGCTAGCCAAGACAGGCACTTTTTCACCTCACCTAGCTCGTGGTTCGCTGCCACTTGGTCGCTGTGTAGGCCTCCGTGATCGATCATTAACTGATGTGTCTGAAAGCTGGTCAGTCTCATCACATGACATCGCTGGTGCCGTATCCTCGGGAGCATCCTCCCGAGAAATCTTGCGATATTCTGTTCTTGATGAAGACCGTTCATCATGATGTTTTTCCTTCCTGTACTTTGCAAGCTCACTGAAGTTTATGATTCCTGCTGGTCGCTTGCCTGCCGTAAAAATTGATGAGAACTCTTCTGAAACATACTTGGGGTTAATTTTACGGGTCCGCCTAAGCCCCATCTTTGGTTTAGCCATTGCTTCAGAAACATCTGTGGGTGGAGAGTTTGAAAGTCCCTTGGCACTGTTGCTGCTCTCATAAGGTTCTGGGCAGTGGGGCTGGGACTCCTTTGCCGATTGAGGCACTTCACGCTGTTCTATAGCCTGCAAATGTACCAACAAAAATTTAGTTTGCTTTCTTCAGTGATCAACATGGAGCAAAAATGCCCATACCTTTTCTATAGGTGGTGCTGTTGGCACAACTCCATCACTTGTACAATGCTCAGTTTCAGATCTGCTCATGCGGTCATCATCCTCATTACTGCTGCTTGTAATTTTTTTAACTGCAAATTCAAAGTCGGCATATCAATTAACTACACTAAAACTCACCTCTAGGCACTCACTTTCTTTTAGTGGTATCTTCTTTTTCTCCCTAGATGCAGCACTGTCATCCTCATCTGCCGAAGACACACTGATGCAGTCATCATAGGAAGACAGATCGCTGGTATGTACTGAACTGACTGTCACCTCGGACCAGGCACCATCTGAATCATGACCATCTGAAGCATCTCGCCTCGGTCGCTTCTTCTTTGGCGAATGCGTTTCAGTAGCAGTCTAAAAAGTTAAGAAACACAGTTACTTGTATTTTTTTATATCACAATGAAGGAATAACATACCTTTCTTCTGGCTGTTTCATGTCTGTCTTCCACTGTGGGAAATTCCTGCTCAAGTGATGCTGCATAGCTAGAGCTCCTTGCTTGCTCACCATTCTCAAGCAGCACTCTGTCAGCTAGTTTCTCTGTGTCAGTACTCACCAGCTGCAAGTCAGTTCCACTGATACCCAACTGCTTGTCATTAACATAAGAAAACCTCAAGATCTCAGCTTCCTTCGCTTCAACTAGCTGCAATGGACCGTGGGAACTTTCATCATTAACTGTTAATGAGATTTCCCGAGAAAATGCACCAGGCATGCTCTCACAAATTTTTGCTCCTGTCTGGTCTGCAAAGCAAGAAACATTTTCTTCTGAATTTTCTTGCAAAACATCTGTTGGTATTTCCAAGGAAGCATCATGACGAACATCTGCGTGGTCTTGCTGTGATGAACCTGAAGCACTGGCATTCATCTCAGCAAATGATGCATCATCAACAGTTTGGAATAAAGAGCGAGATACAGTTTGCAAAACGTTTTTAGATGACATCTTTTGTGAAGTTTCACCATCTTTGCCATTCGATGAACTTTGCTTACTGTGAGCTTGCTTTTTTTTCCTTTCATGGCTTCTCTCTTTCTGAGAACTTTCACCATGTTTCTCAGATGACTTACTTGACTTGTTCTGCCTGGAAGAATCTCTTGTGGAAGAGCGGTCTTTGTCTTTTCTACTCTCACCATGTGACCTGCGACCGTCGGAATGATCCCTGGACTTGTCTTCTCGAGAATGCCTGTCATTGTGTCCTTTTCTGTCATCATGGCGCTGGCTACTGCTGTAATGACGATGTTTATCATCTGGCCGCTTTTGCTCATTCTTAATGTCACTCTCCTTTGATCTACTAGACTGACTTGAGTACCCTTTGCTCCGCTCACCTCGCTCATCTTTTGTTGCATCTGTCCCGTTGTTTTGGGTTTTCTCTCGTGAAGATCCTTTGTTTTGAGATATGCTGCACTTGTCTCGTTCTTTCACTAGATCTTTGCTTTCCTTACTGTCACATTTATTAGACTTCTGAATTTTCGATTTGCTTGGATTAGAGGTATTTTTTGATGTAGAACACTTTGAATGCAAATCTGATCTTCCAGAATGTGAACTGGATTCTTTGCCCTTCACAGAATCCATTTTCTTTTCTTTTTTGTCTTTGCCCACGGTCTTGACCTTTGTCATGCCAGCTACTACACCAGTATCCTTACTGTCAAATTTATTACCGATGGCTTCTTTCTTCAATGGGTCAGATTTTATGTTGTTTAATGACGAGGGTAGCTCAACATCTTTCGTGACATGTCTGTCATTTGCACTTCCACCCTGGCTGATTGCTTGCATGTCTGACTCCAGACTGTCTACTGGCCTAGGAGCAGACAGCTCAGATGTCTCAATTGGAGCATTATCAACAGGTTCGGCTGAAGTGTCACACAACTCGTAACTTTCAGCTGTCTCAGCTGGTAGCTCCACAGGAACGTCTTGAGTATGCTCATTGCTCTCCGTCACAATCATTAGCTGATGTTCAGATGACGAGTCCATTAAGCCATCAGGCATCAAGGCTTCTGTGTATGCTTTGGGGGAGCAGCTGCTAGGGACGTCCTGTGTTGTCTCATCTAAAGGAGAACAACAATTACACCAGCTTTTACTGCTTCAACAAAGCAGTGAGCATTTTCACACCTAAGGTTCTGTTCCAGTGCAACAACTGCTCACTGACCTAAGCAAGAGCAATCTACAGGCTCTCAGTCACAGGGAAGCATCACATGATTGCAGTGCCACACATATATAAATATGTATGCAGAAAAACAAATTTTGATACAGCTGCTGCATTGTGGATCACATTCACCTCCATTAAAGATTGTCTATTTTATATTTGCAAATTAATAATTACTATCTCCAAGGAACACAACCAAGCTTCTAGCAAACATTGCTACAGTCAATAAGAACACTGTCACAATGTGCCCAATTTTTTTTTTTTTTGTCCCGAAGACCACCTACAGTACCTCAGATCAGAAATTCTAGACACAGGGTTCGTACAGGTTTCCAAAGCGAAAATTCAAGGATATTCAAGGACTTTCCAGGACCTGTCACGGGTTTTTCAAGGACCAAAAGCGGCACGCATTGTTAAAAAATTTTTCGTTCTGAATTTTTCAAAATTTACTCATTTTTATAGCGCTCATATAGTACATGCACACAGCAATTATAACAAACATGTCTAGTCTGCACTCTAGTTCCCTTTAGCTTCACTGCTCGCACAGTAGGAAAGGAGCCACCACCAAAGAGCATAATGAGTATCTCACTTTGTTTGTTTGTGGTTTGACGCAGTAAAACTTTATTCCCCGTGCCATTTTGGAAAACTAAACCATATCAACTCACGCCGAATTGCTGTTTCGGAAATGGAGAGCTGGTCAGGTAGATGCCGATCCATACCTGCCAAGTTCAAGGATTCTGAACCTGGGAGATTTCCGCTGATATTTATTTTTCCCTTTCTTTTTTTAGCACCAAAAGAAAAACATTGCGAAAAAAAAAGGGGGGGAGTAAACATTGGCATTGCGCGGTCTCATACCGACTTGGAGTGGCTAAACACCCGAGGGTAGGGTTTCCCAACTACACTAACAAGAGCGAGTCTCAAAAGGGAGCGAGCATACTACTTGTATCTCTAAAAATTTCCAACATTAAAACAACTAGCAAAATCTATTTCTGTCAAAAGAACTTGGGTATGTTTTCCTGAAACACGTGCAAACAGACGCAGTCGGTTGCTGAGAAAGCGTGAATCGAAGCTTTGCTTAAAGCCGACTAAAGACTTAACATCCAAGTATACCCAATGTACTCAGATCGGCAGGAACAACGTTACTTATTTTTTTACTTATTCATCTTTATCGTTACTTATTCTTTTTACTTATTCATCTTTATCGTCTCTTCCGCTGCGCTAGCCGCTTCATCAACCGTGTTTTCGCACGTGGCGGTTGCAGAAACCGGTAGATTTGTTTTCAATTCACCTGCGCTGGCTGTGCATGTACTTTCAAAAACCATGTCGTTTTTTGCAATATATGATCGCATCTATTGCGATTTTGTCCACTGCGTTTGTGGAACGCAACGTCGCTTCAACTGGTAGAGCGTTGAACGTGTGTGCACTTTCGGAGTTCGGTAACGTCGTCACCACACTTGCTCGTGTCAAGAGCGACCATGGTATCGTCCACAGGTGCTGTGGCAAACAATAACCACAGTTGTGACAGTGCGTGCGCTGGCCGCGTGTGTCCTTCCGAAGCTTCGAGCATGCTGCTCTCGGCCTTCATTGCATGGTTTCGGCCCTCAAGTTTACAGGACTTGCCGCCATGAGGAAAAGAGCTCGCAACATCCGAATTTTGGCCTAATGAACACAGCGGAACTTGGCTGGGAAATTTCACGAATTCCTATATTTGCCGGCATCACATCATTGAGATTCTACTGTATGTTTCGATGAACACCTTTTAAAATCATTCACAATAAAATGCGAAGGGTTCGCGAAAAGCCTGGATTAAATTGGGCTGCATTTTTGTCAATGCAGCCAGATTACGTACAGAAATTTCAATTTCTGGGAAATTTTCCTAGCAACCGTACGAACATACGAACTGGTCGAAATCCGGGAGACTTGGCAGGTATGCCGATCTACCACATAAAGCAGGCCGCAATGTTGATTGGGAGTGCCCAAAAAATTCACGGATTTTCAAGGATGGGAAAAAATTCCAGGACTTTCAAGGGCCTTGAAAATGCATTTTTCAAATTGAAGGGTTTTCAAGGACCAGTACGCACCCTGTAGACATAGCTCGTTCTTAATTAGGCCTCCTCACCTGTCTTAAAGTCAACACAGAATGCCCGCTATCGGCCATTGAGCAGTTGCACATGAACTGTAACCTTCATACATGCATAATTTTTAATTACCTCCCCATTTAAGCCAACGGTTTTACAAGTCTGGGATGGTCATCAGCAGAACACCATAAGCTACAATAACAGTACCTTAAGCAGCATTTGCACATGCTTGTCACAATATTACCATTACATTTTTATACTAAGCCATTATCAAACTTAACTAAGCATGCCAGGAAAATGCTTATTTGCAATATCCAATGTTGATGGCAGCACTGTAAGAGGCAACTTGTGCATTCACTTCAGAGGCAACGCTAAAGTAGCACTGTAGATATCTTGATGATATCACCAGTTCAGTTATTTTGACGATGCCTAGTGATTGTACTTTAATGGAATGATGCTTAGTGCCTATTACTCCCTATGTCAATGTGCTCTGCTGATCGACCACATACACATAAGGTAGTCAACCAAGCACATGCTTAGTTAACCCCCCTGCCATTCCTCTTTATTTCTCTTGCATAAAAAGCAACCTCACTGTAATGTTGGCAACTTATGTCAGAGTAACTTTTCCTGCCCTGATAATGTCCAAGACAGCAATGCTTCTCTATGCTGGACATGGAAAGTATGCCCGTGCACTGGACTCTTATGATTTAGAAGTTCTGAAGTTGCATGTAGCGTGCTTGACTGCTATGCTGCAGAAACAGTGCCAGTTCAACAGCAGAGTGTGCTTTATTGCATAAATGCTATCTAAGACACCAATTAAAATGCTCCAAAGACCAGAAAATTTAATTGAAGATGTTTTATTTCATGTATCAAACAAGTTCTTTGCTTCCACTTAAAAAGAAAAGTATGAACACAGGTCTTTTCATGATCACGTAGCACGGTATATTTTTAATCAACAACTTAACATTTGTAAATCTTTATAACAGAATGACACTTCTAAAAAACATCTCCCAAACAAATTTTGCATTTTAGAACTAAAATACACACACAGGTGCTTAAAGGATATTTTAAGGTGACAACAATTGCATAATTACCATCTTTACTCGCATAATTTGTGCACTTTTTTTCACGATTTTGGGGCTCTTAGAAGGGGGTGCGCAAAGTAGGCAGAGATTTGGGGAACGCATACAAAATAATGTGCAATAGTCCTAACATGTGACAATATATAATTTTTAAAAAGTTAATAACTTCGAGCACAAATGAAGTGCCCCTGTTTATTTAAAAGAATTAGCTCGTACTTAAACCAGTCAGATCCAGTCAAGCGCAGTCTTGTAGGAATCACTGATCCAGAGGCCCTACTGAGAATCATTGTCGCGGCCGCCCTCACCGCCCTTCCAAAGCGCATCCCCCTCGGTTTTGTTGAGCGTGTTCGAATGTCCCATTTTCTTGAAGCTCTTCTCGGTAATGCTGGGAGAAGCTGGGTCCCAAGACAGAGCAATACCGGAGGACCTAAGCGTTCGCACATAACTGAAAAGACCTTCAACGGGCAGGAAACTTGTATTAGCAAGCGCAGACTTTCCCGCTTTCTCCCGCACTGATCGTGCCAATCGTCACATGCAGAAGCACTCTATGCTGAAGTGCTTGACAGTGGCACGATTCCCGTTTTCTTCGGCAAATTTTACAGCAGCGAGCTTGAATTTTGTCGTATATATAATTACTGTAGCCCGTCGCAAGAAAACAGTCCAAATGCAACGGGCAAATGGCAAAACCTATACTTCCAAAGTTGATGATGATTGATTGATATGTGGGGTTTAACGTCCCAAAACCACTATATGATTATGAGAGACGCCGTAGTGGAGGGCTCCGGAAATTTAGACCACCTGGGGTTCTTTAACGTGCACCCAAATCTGAGCACACGGGCCTACTATACTTCCAAAGTTAACCAAGCATACGTTGCAGTGCAGACGTAGAGAACGAGAGGAACAGTTGGCGCGACAGGCCCTCACACGCCTCCGGTGCCAAAAGTTATTCGTGCCCTGACGCAAGCAGATACACCCATGATGGTAGAGATGGAGAAATAGAGGAGAAAAACCATGAAGGAAAGAAAAGAGAGAAAACGCTCGAGCGGTTTTGGCGACCCGTCAGGTTAGACTCGTGAACAGGTTTGGGTACGAAATTCTAGTAGCACTAGTTCGGGGGAAGTCCTCGGAAAAAGGGACTTCACACTCGCAGCTCATTTGACTGCACTCGCCTGATCGGCGGGGAGCACCGGGGCGCGCCCATCTACATAATCTAAAGATCTTAAGTTTTCGTCCGCGTGCCGGCGAGCTGGCTCGGGCGGGTCAAGGAGCGCAAAATATGCAAGTAAATATTTTTTTCCTATAAAGCTGACAATATATTATGGGTGTGCAAATTATGCGAGGGTGCAAATTATGCAAGTAAGTACAGTATTTGTTTACATTATTGCACTTTGCCCTTGAAATACCATGCACATTAAATTACACACTTTCAATATTCAGCATTAAAACTACCTCAAATCATTCATTTAGCTCACTACTTGTCAAGGCACTGGACAATATAAGGGTTCAGTGCACTTGCAAGTCTTTCCAGCAGCAATAAAGCATTCCTGTCATTGAATATATTTTCACTGTCACTCTTATTTTTCCTATAACAAAAATGAAAAATTTTTTTTATTGTGTGTGTGTGTGTGTGTGTGTGTGTGTGTGTGTGTGTGTGTGTGTGTGTGTGTGTGTGTGTGTGTGTGTGTGTGGGCGTGTGTGTGTGTGTATTCCTTCTATACATGTTTGCATTGTGCACCGTTGCTAGACAATATTGAGATCCAAAATGACATTCATTACCGCTATGACAGTCGATGCAGTAAGATATTATCATAGCCAAGAGAAGGATACATTATGAAATTGTGTATATTTTCAATGTGCAGACTGTGTCATCCCCAAAATTAGCTACAGCAGTACACATGGTGTTCATGTGATGTCACTTCTGCCGTTGTCGCCCTCTTCCGCCATGCCCGGGTACCTCCCTGGGTACCTATGGCAGTTCGCGTGCTGCCGCGCGGTTCGTTGAGGGCTCGTCATCTGTTGCTCTGTACGATGTTGAAAGGGAAGCATTGTGGTTTTTTGTTGTCATACTTTAACGAGCTCATCGGATCAGGAAGGCCTCGTTTGTGCACTCATACAAGACCATAAAATCAAGATGTGCGACACGTATACCAGCCACCGCGTACACCGGCTGCCATCCACAACCTACGAGGGCCCAGTATCCCGTTTTCACAACAAACAATACAAATTACATGGCGCAAGAACAAGTGAAAGCCCAAAGTCACTCGAGCCGCAATTTTAACAGTGGATGAGCGAAGCGCAGCAGCTCCCATAAAAAACGAGTCATGCAGAGCTAGGCAAGTTTACAAGAGATATAATATTAATATATTGCTGCGGCCCATGCCACCGAAGTAGCAGCCCCCCCCCTCCAAGTATTTTAAACAGTGCTGATGTTGAGCCTCTTTGATTGAAATATGTGGAAACAGCCGAGGAAAATATTATGCGAGGCCGATAGAGACTGCACGTGGTGCGTGCCGCGGTAATGCCAGTCATCGCTTTTTTTTCCGCGCATGTTTTGACATCTTTTTCACCTTGTATTTTACTTTTTTTCGTACACTAATGTACAGTGGAGTCCCTGAAAATGATGGAGACCGTGTTAGAGAATGAATTGACCAATTTTTAAAATTCTGACCCTCGAACCGATCGGCTATACTTACCGATCGGCTAAACTCGAACCGATCGGCTATACTTACCCGGAATGAAGTTGCACCTGAAGACGCAAACAATCACCGAGTTTCTTCAAGTAGTTTTTTTGTTAATCCGCGCCAGCCAAACACGCCAGTACATTTCGGAAAATCACAATGTGCGTTCTCAATTTTAGGTAATAACTTTCGGTGAAGAAACACCCCGAAGCTCTGCTCCCTCTTTGGGGACTACTAAATCAACTTGCCTCACTAGCAGCCCTCAAACTTGCATCGTGAGGCAAAACTTAACGGGCGAAAGCACGAGGAGACAACACGGCAGCGGTAGGCGATGGAGCCGGTAGGTACCCGGGCATGTCGGTGACGCATTTCGGAAGTGATGAAGGGGCGCTGCGTGACGCACGTGTACACTATGTACAGAAAAAGATGAAGCTGCTAGCATAAGAAGTTGTTATAAGCCATCATTGAAAATCATGCGAGCACAATCTACACTTTATGTACACATGTAATAATCACGATGTGATGATTGTAAGTTATCACACGATCGACTCGAATCAACCATGGCTTCCCACATCAAGCATGTGTGCTGCTGGTGCCCCAAAAGTTGCCGCAACATAGCAACCAAATTTTTTTGTCAGATATGAGGCAGTGCTAAAAAAGTGCCGCACGACACAACAAAAATTTTTTCTAAAATCCTGCAGTGGAAGCTCTCACAGCGCCTACCTGCAATAATGCTTGCCTCGACTTCTTGGAAACATGGACTTGTTGGGAATTGTCCACGAAGAGAGAAAGTAGTTTTGCTCGGCTAATGTAAATGCTTGTTTAATTGACAAACGAAAAATCGCTGTTCCCAACAAAGGTAACATATCAAGATGAGTACGGATTATCGGATCTCCAATAAAATTTGCTGGGACTTTGAGGCTTCTCAATAAAACCAGCAACACACACATGTTGAGCAATATTTGTGTGAAAAAAATTACCCATTTAAAATTCACAGGGCTGGTGGAAAACACAGCTTTTTCTTCACTTTATGCCAACATGCTATTGTGCCCCCAGTAAACTGGCAGAGACTTAGCCCCACTTTCAGGGTAAAATTTCCACTACAAAATTTTTCTTAAATCCTTTTTGTGGAAAAACACCGAGTGTTGTTAGGCTGTATGAAAAACGGCCTACTTCTCCGGCAGTGCTGTTTTCTGGCATCAGGGTATTCCCACATGCATGCACTAAAATTTAGCTATGAGGAAATGACTGCCATTAGCCCAATGCACAGTGCTCACGACATGACACCTATGCACAACAGCTTTAGTGTGTACTCATGCCAAGACACTTCTGTTGCTTGCGCAAAATGAATTCCCAGATTATATATATATATATATCTTCCGAGCCACTCGGCTTTCACAACCACACCATACAATAGCAAACATGCATTGCTGTTAGCACAACGGGGCGGTTAGTAGTCGAAAGCATCGTCAAATACCTATGCTGAATTCAGACTTTGGCGGCAGTGGTGGTAAGGCCGGCGTTTGAGGTGGCGGAGGCTGGTTGATGAAGTCTTTCTGGGCAGCCGGCTGCTGCTGGGCCGACAAATCCTTCTCCGAACTCAACCCAAGATACTGACGCACGCCGTCCTCCACCTCGGGTGTGAACACGTGGTATATCTTTGGATTTACTATCTGGTCGACCAGATGGTCCATGCCAGCTGACAGCATGCCCGATCTGTGAAGCAGGTACACCGTTATCAAAGTAGACGCGAAGCCAGAAACTAAAGACGTCATTACTCACTCGTTTATTTCCCGGCGCATTATGTCTCGAACATGGTTTTTGTTCATGTCAGGAGTCCATGTTTGCGTTGACAGGAACTTCGTAATGTAGCCCTCGATTCTTTGCTTCAGGTTCAAATAAGCAGGCTGCAATAGACACAAGCGACGGAGTTGCATTGTCATGTTAGTTATTTTCATCATGCTAGGCTACATTTCTCAAAGGTGGCTTACCTTCGTGTCGACATCGCCGAGGCAGTCCCGCCTTAATTTGTCAAAAAGGCCACGGGATTTCAAGTGGCTTACAATGCTTGCTGTTAAATTGGGGTCGCCTGGCGGCAGTTCTTTCACGCTCGAACTAGAAGCCATCCTTGCGCTCAACTACAAAGTATCCAAGTATACGCATCAAGTTCAGCAAAACATCTTGACTACGCATTCCAAACGTCTAGCTACGAACCATTCATGTAAGGAGATGCGAAATGAGAAAAATAGTTCATACATTCCCAAACATCTAACGCTACGCACACTGAACGTACCGAATGGATGGATTGATATGGCTGTACCACAGAACACCTACTTAAAGGGGTGTAGGTAGGTGTTCTGTGGCTGTACCATAGAGAAATAAAAAAGGTGTTCTTCTTTCTCTATGGGCTGTACCGCTGTACCCTTTAGATCGGGCGGCGGCTAACGCCACCTAGCCGTTATACTTAGTGAACCAACAACTAGATTCATCGTTTTTCCCCCTTTAAATAGTGAAGTTGAGGACTGGCACTTTGCAGTGAAAGATTTAATTTTCACTCGTGCCTTAATTTCAGCCACCAATCAGATAACCTCCCTCTAGTTAAGTCTACCCGCTTAAAGTCTATTTTGCCCTCCCTGTCCCTAAACCCCAGTCCTTTGCAAAACTCTGCGCCATCATCCTGAACTATAGGGTGAAACCCTTTACAGAACATTATCAAGTGTTCGGCAGTTTCATCCTCCTCTCCACATGCACAGCATACCGTGTTTACCCCTTCGTATTTGGCTTGATATGTCTTGGTTCGCAATACTCCCGTCCTGGCCTCAAACAGTAGAGAACTACCCCGAGTATTATCATAAATCCTTTCCTTGGCAATTTCCTGCTTAAAAGTTCGATAGATCTCTAGTGCGGACTTCTTAATCATGCCAATTCTCCACATGTCAGTTTCCGTTTCCTTCACTTTCTTGTTAACCGATAGTTCTTTTTGGCTTGGCCACCTGCTGTTTTCTAAGTATTTACCAGTCAATTTCCTGGTTCGCTTCCTCCATTTTGTATCGATATTCTTCATGTACAAGTAGCTGAATACCTTCCTAGCCCAACGCTCCTCCCCCATTTCTCTCAATTGCTTCTCAAATTTTATCTTGCTGCTATCTTCCCTGCCCTCAAATGATGTCCGTCCCATATCACCTTGTACTCCCTGATTTGGTGTATTCCCGTGAGCTCCTAAAGCAAGCCTACCTTTACCACGTTGCTTAATTTCTAATCTTGCTTGAACTTCTGATCTCATGCACAAGACCGCATTGCCGAACGTTAGACCAGGAACCATGACCCCTTTCCATATTCCTCTCACAACATCATACCTATTGTAATTCCACAGTGCCCTATTTTTCATCACTGCTGCATTTCTGTTACCTTTAGTGTTCACGTATATTTCGTGTTCCCTTAGGTACTCGGTCCCATTGCTTATCCATACGCCCAGATATTTGTATTTATCTGTTATCTCTACCGTGACTTCCTGTATCCTAAGCTCACAACCTTCATTATCATTAAAAATCATGACAGCTGATTTTTTTTTACTTAATCTGAAACCCAGCTAACCTATCTCCCTCATTAACGCAGATGTCCGTCAATCTCTGCAAATCTTCCTTGTTGTCGGCCATTAGCACTATATCATCTGCTTACATCAATGCTGGTAATGCCTGTTCAATGAGTTTTCCTTGTTTGACGAAACAGAGGTTGAATACAAGTACACTTCCCTCTAATTTGGCCTCTAATCCTTGTGGTACATCATGAATAACAAGAGAGACTGAGGACACCCCTGCCTAAGCCCCCATTTCACCTCTGTGGACTTGGATACCTGTTTTTCCCACTTTATAATGACCTTGTTACTTTATAGATTTCCTTTAAAAGATTAGTGACTTCATCTTCCACACCTAGTGTGTACAGTAATTCCCACAAGTCCTCTTGAACCACGCTATCATACGCTCCCTTGATATCCAAAAACGCTAGCCACAGGGGCCTGTGTTCCTTTCCTGCTATTTTGATGCGCTGCGTCAGTGAGGACAGATTGTCTTCCAACCTCCTGTGTTTTGAAACCCATTCTGCAGTTCCCCCAGCACCCCCTCATCCTCTATCTATGCCTGCAGTCTTTTCTTTATAATCTGCCTTGCCAGCCTGTAGACCACTGATGACACTTTTATAGGACGGTAGTTGTTCATGTCAGCTTTGTCCCCCTTTTCTTTAGAGATCAGGCTCATCCTGCTAAGTTTCCACCCATCGGGGACTTCACGATCGATTATTGTTCTGCTCACTGCCTCTCTCAAAGTCTGTTTAGACTTTGGACCCAATGTCTTTATCAGCATAATTGGAATGCCATCTGGGCCTGTTGATGTACTATTAGGAACCCACTTCTCAGCCCTTTCCTACTCTCGTTGTGAAAATGGAGCCATTGCGCCACTTGATCCATTATTGTCTATTGTGGTGCATAAGGCACTTCTTTGTTGAAAATTTTCTGTCACCCTTGTTCCTATATATTGAATATCTTCTTCGTCCCCTTCTTCGCCCCCTTCTAGCCTAGAACCTTGAGCTGTAGTATACCTCTGCTCTAGGCTTGTTTCATTTCTTAGGGAGTTTAGATGGTTCCAAAATTTCGCAGCTGCCTTTCAGTCCTTTTTATGTACTTCTGCCAGCCACTGAGCACCATTTCTTCTAATTTTTTCATTGATCAGGAGGGATGCTTCTCTTCTAGAGCTTAGAAAGATGTCCCATTTTCTTTCAACATCATCTGTCGGTTCACCCTGTTGCATGCTTAGCATGTCTGTGTTCCCTAGAGGCTTCCTGACGTTTTGCTATGGCTCTCTTAACATCCTCATCCCACCAACTCTTGGGCTTGTGTCTTCTTTTCCAGGGTGACTTGTCACGTGCCTTAGCAAGCTCTAGCTCAAACAGCCTAATTACATTTGTGTATGTCCCACTGTTTTATTATCCTCAGTGATTACTTTCTCAATTTGTACTTGCTGAATAGAGGGATGGATGAATGTGCTCTACTCTTTAGATCGGGTGACGGCTAGCGTCACCTAGCTGTAATACTTGGTGAACGAACGATCGCAGCGCCAAAGTCCCCTCTAGTTAATTTTAGGAAACTATATGGAGGCTGCTCAGGCTGGTACTGCATCGCGCAGGCATCGTCATCGCCCACCACTCAGTGTTCTGTGTCGGAACGTGCATTGCCTGTGTAGTTTCGTTGAGGGTGGATCTGCATTTCGTGGTTAAAAAAAGTTTGGCATATTGAATCGGCAACTTTTTGTTGCTTAGGCTGTAGTCATGGATATTGAATATTCTGTAATAAGCCAGCCTCCGGTCGACGAAACCGATGACACCATACCACTACCATGCTGTGGTAATGGTCTTCCGCTGATCCCTTTGCCAGAACTACCTATATTTAATGCTCTAGAAAAACAGTACCTAGGAAGTCTGCATCAGCCCGGGCTCACTGTGAGTTTCTTGTAGTCACCTTGAGCGTTGTGTTTCTTTGAGCGCTTATGCTTGTGTGTATGTATCGCAGAATGAAGTCCGCTTCGGCATTGGACGAGGAAAGATATCAACGCTTTCCTCTGTGAGTATCGCACCTGCCATTCACGCACTGCATTTGTGACGCTTCCTCAATTTGTCTGGACTTTGCGTACTAGCTCGAAAAGTTGTGCGTCTGCCTTTGTTTTGACGATGCCATGAGCGTCGCTTGCAGTGTAGGAGTGCCGGGCAATATTCATACAAGCTATTCGGAGGTTAGAATACCTGACGCAAGTTTGGCTTGCCTACTAGTCGGTATTGCATTGTAAGTTCGCGTACTACACCTCGAAGACCATGGTACATAAAGTTAACACGAGTTGTGTCGCGTTACTGCGCCATGGTGTCTCGGCGCAGATGTTCAATATATATATATATATATATATATATATATATATATATATATATATATATAGTTATAAACTTCGAGAATAGTGCAGTATAGGAAACAAAACAATAAAATATTTATTTAATCCTAACAGTTTCGGCTGGTGGACCAGCCTTCTTCGGAGGATGTAAGTGAAATGATACAAGTTCCCGTAGCAGAGGGTCACCCTCACAGTTTAAAGACCCTCCAAAAAAAAGAGAGAGAGAGAGAAAAAGACAAGCGGGCGAACGAGGTAGCAACAGACAACAAGAAGCAGAAGGAGAGGAACTAGAAAGGAGCGACGGAGAGCCGCCGGTCGTCGCTCCTTTTGTGGTGGGTAAGTCATTGATAAAAGATGAGAAATAGTGCAGGAGCTAAAACGCTACTTTGAGGAACTCTGGAGGTGACCTAAATAAGTTTAGAACGGGTGTAGTTAACTTGTACAAATTGCGTCCGGTTGGATAGGTAGTTCTTTCATCATCATCATCAGCCTGACTATGTCCACTGCAGGACAAAGGACTCTCCCATGTTCCGCCAGTTAACCCGGTCCTGTGCTTGCTGCTGCCAATTTATACCCGCAAACTTCTTAATCTCGTCTGCCCACCTAACCTTCTGTCTCCCCCTAACCCGCTTCCCTTCTCTGCGAATCCAGTTAGTTACCCTTAATGACCAGCGGTTATCCTGTCTACGCGCTACATGCCCGGCCCATGTCTATTTCCTCTTCTTTATTTCACCTATGATATCCTTAACCCACGTTTGACCCCTAATCCACTCTGCTCTCTTCTTGTCTCTTAAGGTTACACCTACCATTTTTCTTTCCATTGCTCGCTGCGTCGTCCTCAATTTAAGCTGAACCCTCTTTGTAAGTCTCCAGGTTTCTGCTCCGTAGCTAAGTACCGGAAAGATACAGCTGTTATATACCTTCCTCTTGAGGGATAGTGGCAATCTACCTGTCATAATTTGAGAGTGCTTGCCGAATGTGCTCCACCCCATTCTTATTCTTCTAGTTACTTCAATCTCGTGGTTCGGCTCTGCGGTTATTACCTGCCCTAAGTAGACATAGTCTTTTACAACTTCAAGTGCACTATTACCTAGGTAGTTCTTTATCAATCCACAAACGGGCCCCTTGCCTAATGTGTGTTCAAATTTTAGCATTAGTTTTTGGTGTGATATGCGATCAAAGGCTTTTCAAAAGTCGAGAAAAATAAGGTCTGTCTGATTTTGTTGATCAATGCTACCTGAGATGTCATGTATAAGTTCAAGTTGAGTGACTGTGGATGATCCCTGTCGGAACCCATGCTGCGCTGGTGATAGAATGCTATTCTGCCCGAGGTAAGTATATGTCTGAGGATGATGTGCCATGCCTGATGTGATGTTGTCAGCCACGTTTCAGTCACTGCTATGAAGTCAGGCTCAATGCTGAGAAGCAAGGTTTCAAGTGATGTTATTTTTGGAAGTATACTGCGAGCATTCAAATTGAGGAAACTTATTTCTGGGTTGAATTTAGGCGGTGAGACCGCAATGTGCGTCTTTCTGGTTCTCAGTTTTTTTAGCACCAGGCATGTCAGATGTGTTTTCAACGAGAATTACCTTATTAATCTGTGCGTCCCATCGGTAGGTGGAACCATTAATACAAAGTTTACTGTTTCTTTGTTTTCACGAAGTTGCACAGTTGTTTTCGAATCTCGCCCACTCAAGGGGAAAAATCGTCCCCGATGGAAAAGTTAGACCCTTTGAGCTTGTTAGTTTTTTTTAGGACCTTCGTTTTATCACGGAAGTCAAGTAACTTCATTATCACAGGCCTTGTTTTCCCAGATGTAGGTTTTCCCAGTCGGTGGATTCGTTCAATTGAAACTGGTTGGAGTTTCAGTGTCTTTTACGATTTTGTCGTTAATTATTTCTTCAATAGATTGGTCGTTTTTCCCTTTTTCTTCTGGCACGCCATAAATAAGTAGGTTGGATCGCCTTGTTCTGTTTTCTAGGTCGTCTATCTTTAGTTCTAGTGAACATACTACTCTTTGTAAGTGTGCAACCTGGTTAGCACACTGTCGAAATTGCACTGTCCAGGCATATCGATTTTTCTAGCTTTTCATTGAGCGAGTTTAGCCGGTTTTCTTTGATGTTTTTAAGATCATCAGCAATTTGCTATATTTGTTTTGCTAGTTGGGACATATCAGGGCCAGGGTTAGTCTCAACGTCTCCCGACAAGAGCAATAATTTTTTTAGATACCAAGTCACATATAGCGCCTAGTCACGTATAGCGGGGCATAGCAGCCTAGGGCACGGCAGCACAACCAAGCAAAGATTATTCGAGCGGTAGGAATTGCGAAACGTTTCCTCACCTGCACGATATGAAGGAATGGATTATTCCACATGTCTGCAGTGCCACCGTGCCCTATGACGAGCTCGAGATGATTCTTTGGTTTTGTAGTGGTACAGTATGCCGGGAGCGCCGCCATCACGTAGAAAAATCTGGTGTCACACAAGGCAGTAGAAGCGCTGTGCTCCAGTCGCCAGTTGCCTCCGTCAAGGATAAGCCGCGCAGTCAGTCTGTTCGGCAGAAGCGTGATGGTCGTTTTCGAGGCTGGGCCACTTCCTTTCCGAGCTGTTGGTATCAGCACCAGTGGGCCGATAAGCTGCGCGTTATAAAAGAATGGATTATTCCGCATGTCTATAGTGTCACGGTGCCCTATGCTTAATCTGTAACATGATGTCCAGCATGGATAATTTAGTTCTGAAACCGATCATGGTATTTATTTATTTATTTGATACTGTCAACCCGTGCTTGGGTCATTACAGGGAGGGTGTCACAAAGTATATAACGTTCAAACAAAAAAGAAAAATTCAAAAGCACATATAAATACGAGATGAATAACCAACAACAGAAAAATAAGAAACAAATAACAAACAGTGACTATACACATAAAAATCAAAGAATAAATGCTGACAACAGAATTCAGCATGCATCACTACAAAGAAATCTGTCTAATGCATTTTTAAAATTCACTGATGTTGTTTGTTGCACAACTGCATTGGGTAAACTTTTCCACATATCTATTGTGTCTGGGAAAAATGAATGGCGTAAAGTATTCGTGCATGTGAAATAAGGTTTAATTGCTCTACTATTATTAAGACGATCACATCGCCTTCCAGGGGGCTGAAGATATAAATCCTTTTTTATTTTTGTTTGCCCACTTATAATCTTAAAAAGAAATTTGAGGCGATGTGCGCGCCTGTGATATTCTAAAGACTCAAGCTCACAGGACTTTAACAAAGCTGTGACTGAGTGTGTGCGTCAGTATCTACCGCATATGAAACATACTGCTAATTTTTGTATTCTTTCAATTTTTGTCCACAACACCTTCTGGTGAGGCGACCACACAATACTAGCGTACTCTAAGACGGGACGTATGAATGTTTTGTAAGTAGTTAGTTTTACATCCGGTGTGGCATGTTTTAGTTTTTTCTTTAGGAAATAGTTTCTTGTTTGCCTTAGAACAAATGTTATCTGTATGCGAGTGTTATTTCAATGTGTGCATAATACTAGCTCCTAGGTATTTGAAAGAAGCGGTATTATTTAAAGGGTGACTTCTAACGTGATACATGAATGACAATTCCCGCCCATTGGAGTGAATATGCGTAAATGTCGTCTTGCTATAGTTTATTTCCATGTCTCATATTATACACCACTGATCTAATGCCTGTAAGTGCCTGTTCAGATTAATTTGGTCACCTTCGTAAGTAACTGGGGAATAAATCAAGCAGTCGTCTGCAAAAAGTTTCATTTTAGTAGGAGCCTCAACTAGTGAACATAGATAATTAACAAATATCAGAAAAAGAATTGGTCCTAAAACAGATCCTTGGGGAATGCCCGAGTACACGGCCAGTGGTCTTGAAGTGTAATTATCAATTTTTACAGCCTGTTGACGTGCGGATAAATAGGCCTCTATCCATTTTAATACTTCTTTGCTTAGTCCTAATCTTTCAAGCTTGAAAAGTAATTTACGATGAGAGACCTTATCAAAGGCTTTCCTAAAATTGACACAAATTACATCAGTCTGCAGAAGAAATCGTTGTTTTTATTGAAATCGTGGAGCGTTTCAGCTAATTGTGTCACAGTAGAAAGACCATGCCGAAACCTATGTTGGCTTGCGCAAAGTAACTGGTTAGAATCAAGAAAACTGAGAATATGTTTTGCTATTATATGTTCCAGAACTTTACAGCAAACCGATGCAAGGATATGGGCCGGTAATTGTTTACTAACGAACGGTCACCGTTTCTAAAAATCTGAATCACAACTGCATCGCACCAGTTTTGTGGAAGTGATCGCGTCTCAACCGATCTCACAAATATTATTTATAAATAAAATGAGACCCATTCTGCATATCTCTTGAGAAACTCTGTTGGTAGGTTATCCAAACCACTTCTTTTCTTCGCATCTAGCTCAAGCAGTAACTGAAAAACATCTTCGGGGTTGATAATAACAGTGGGAAGAGTCAGTTCTTCTCCATGTAGGTAGTGAGATGCGCAAGGATGACATGCTCCATGAGTTTGCCTCTACATGAACTCGGTGAAATTGGTCTAAGGTTATCTAACTGTGCTTTCTTTCCCGGCTTCGGAATCGTAATGACCTGAGCAGTCTTCAATTGACGTGGAATGGTCCTACTCTTCCAACACTTCTC